TCCGAAAACAATCTTTCAGCTTCGCCACCAAATAGATTTCTTCTTTTATTGCCATTTCGGTCTGTTATGAGAATTTTTATGTGTTTGGTGTGTAGGGCTATTAATTAGTCCGCTATCGTTAACATTTTATGGCGGTTTTGTTGCTTTAAGACAAACATTTGTTGATCGTAAAATCATTAATGACCGGAAATGCTGCTTCGTTACAGTTTTCAGGTAGTTCTCGTTTACAAAATCTGAATTTTTTACTTCAGCGATCAAACTACCAGATCCGGTTATATAAAAAAACGTTTTTATATCCTGAACACACACAAATTGACAGATAAACAGATGTGGGGGTTATTTCAATCTACGAAAAATGTCTCAGACAATAATTATTGTATAAGGGGTTCGATTCTGCATCGATAACTGTTTTGCAGTATTCAATGTGGGTTTGGAATATTTTTATTATAAAAGAAATTTAGTATAAGTTATAAGTTGTAAAAAAATTATTCCAATGAACCTACTGAACCAATCAAAATTCTGTACTACGTTCACTGTTATATCCATAATTCAAAACTAAACAACAACATCACCTGTTTAAAGAAGAAAGTAAACCCCAATAAAATATCTTCAAGCAAAGAACTCGATGAACTGCAATCCCAATCATAAATGTAGTCAGATTATTTTATTGTGCAGTGGAACCTTCATGGGTTTTATACCCATAATATATAATTAAAATTTTTAATAAATGAACTATCACCTAAAATACTTCGACTTCAAGGGACCCAGTTTAAAAATATCAATCTAAATCTTCGAAATTATCAATGTTTTCTAAAAAATAGAAACGCACACCAAGCCAGTGGCGGAGTAGCTATCTTCACTAGAATAGATATACAAGTTAAACCAATTGAATTAAGTACTAGTCTCGAAGCTGTAGCTGTAACAATTACTTACCAAAAACATATTAACATTTTTGCATAATATATCTGCCTCATCCTAGCGATCTTGGTTTACAATAATTAAGAAATCTTATAAATCAAATTCCACACCCAAAAATAATTTTAGATGATATGAATTGCCATCCTTCGGCATAGGGAAGTCATAAAACTGACAAACTCGGTAAATTATGAATTATTTTATTGATTCCTCAGATTTATTACTACTTAAAATGGAAAATCGACCAGATTTAACTCTAACAACGGCTTATTTTCCAATATAAATTTGACATTATGTAGCCAATCATTAACAAGTTATCTTTTATGGAAAAATTTAGAATCACTACACGACAGTGATTATTTTTCCATTCATCGACTTAATAAATCTCAATCTCCTAAATTCCCAATATATCAATCTTGGAAATTAAAAAATACCAGTTGAAACTACCATTAGAACGACATCAAATGGAAAATTAAAAATTTCCAATTAAGCAGTGACATAAACTCTGACATTAGGTCTTTTAATAATATCATAACAAAAGCTGCCTTAAGTAATATCGGTAAAACAAAACTCTGTAATAGACAACCAGTGCATTGTTGAACCAGCGAAATCACACTAGCTCTATATATCTATAACAAAACGCGTGTTTAATAAACTTAAAAAACATAATGCGAAAGAAAATTTACTTTATTTCAAGAAACTCAGATCAAGATTGAGATGTCTCATAAAAAAAGCAAAAGAAATACAGGGGAAAATTAGGTCTCTACTATAAATTCATTGACCCGTTCATTAGGTCTAAAATTCGTAAACTTAAAAGTTACAACTCTTTTAGACATATAAATACCTTAACTCTTGGTCAAACACTAATTAATTGTAACAAAGCTAGTGCAGAAATATTTGCTGATGTTTATTAACAAAATTCTAGCAATAATGATATACCTCAGGAAATTTTTAACACACAAGGAAACTTTAGAATCCTCTATTATCACCATAAACTATATCAATGATATTCAAAACATCGCCAGAACTCTTTAAGAATTAGAATTTGCTATTTCTGATTTTGATCGGATTGGATACCACCAATATTTTTTAAAAACTTGCCATTTACAGCTAAACTAGTTTTACTAGATTTACTTAATATTTGTTTTCTAAAAAACAAATTTCCTAATCTTTGGTCCCAGGCAGTAATAATTCCCATCATCAAGCCAAATAAACCTAAATATAAGACCACTTCTTACCGCCCCATCTCCGCTTACCGCTTTCCTGTAGTATGTGTAAAATCTTTTTAAAATTATAAAACTTCGTCTATATGGCACTATATGGCTTCGTATGGCACTTAAAAAATAATAATCTATATTCTCCTTATCAAAGTGGCTTTTAAATAGATAGATCGATGTCAGATAACCATGTTACTCTACAAATCTTAATTAATGAAGCTTTTTCAAACAACCAAAAACTAATTCCATTTTTTTATATAAGCCAAGCTGTTGAGAGAATTTGGAGATACTACATTTTAAAAAATCAAAGCGATAACGAGATTCATGGTAACACATTAGCATTTGTAAACAATCTTTTAAATAATATATCAATAGAAATTAGAATAAATGGCTTTAAAAGTTCAACAAGAACATTAGATAAAGGCGTCTCTCAAGGTTCCATAATCATTCCAACATTCTTCTTAATTGCTATCAATACTGTTATTCATAAAATAAGAGTTCCTATTAAATCCATTATTTATGAAGGCTACATTGTCGTTTATACTAAATAAATTAATGTTGGACGTTAAAACTGGTTTAACTTCTCTAGGTTTAACTTTTACCAGAGTGCATTTAGAACTAGTCTAAATTAGTCCCACTAGTAATCTACAAGTTCTAGCTAAAGAGATACCTCTAAACATAAGGAGACAACAATTATCACTAAACTACATTGCCAAAATTTCAATTCAAAAACAAGATCCTCTTTGCTCTCAATTTTCCACCCTGGCATCCTCTCTTTTAAAAAGACAAAAAACTGTAAATCTAATAGATCTAATAGAAAGAATAAAAGTCACAAATTTTACCATGAATCAACTTAGCCTATTGTTATACAAATGCAATATCTTCTCTATGAACAAACCGCCTACCGACCATTAACCTAACACTAGGAAAGTACCCCAAATCATATACAAACTTCTCGATACTTTAATATCTTTTTGCAGAAATCATATCCCGTTACTTCAACTATTTACAAATCGTTGCCGATGCCTCTAAAACTCCCAGATAGACATGCCGCTGTTTCCTATTCTGATGAAGAAAACTCCTTCAGCATACACTTACCTACAAATTGTAGTATTCTTACAGGCGAGACCACAGCTATATTAAAAACCAGATTTACTTAATGCGTTATTGAAATTAAAGCAATAAAAAATGAATTATAAACACTTCAAAAGGAAGATCAACCAGCAATCACAAACCGTATCAACTTAGATGATACTACAAAAATTACAAGATTTTCTTACAGTGACATGAAACATCTGATTAGAAAAAAAAGTTCATTGCAATAACATTTGGTAAAATTACTGGGAAAATTCAGCAACCAAATTAAACCCAATATGCCCAAAGGTGAACAGCTCTTTGAATAACCCCACAAGTAGACGAGATCAAGTAATTATAAACCGTTTAAGAATTGGTCATACTGCTGTCACACACAAATTTTTAATCAGTAAAGATCCACCGCCAATTTGCAATAACTGCTTCACTTGATTTACAGTGAAATACGTCCTGCTTGACCGCCTATGTTTCCAAAATCAAAGAAGAATGCACAAAATTTTAAACTACCTCAAATCTATATTCACTGATAAAAATTGAAATGTATTTAATTACTTAAGAAATATAAAATTACTATTTAATGTACATAATCGTATTAAAACTATTGTGTTTGTAATCCCAATAATTACCCTGCGTGGTTGATATGCTATACAGTAGCGCACCTAGAATTGTCCTCTGGGGGTGTTTTGGTTGGGCACCGAAATGTTTTAATGCTACCTCCACCATTTTAAGTAATTAAAATTTGTAAATAACAGTATCGGAATAGGGTCCTGGGAGGGGGTTTGACCCCCAAAGTGTTTTTCTTTAATAAAATAAGTAAAACAGGAAAAAACAGTTAATATTAGAAAAACATAATTTAAACTAGAAGAGTATTGAAAAACGAATCTATTTTAAACAAGTTCTAGAACGAGACAACTTTGGAAAACATGCACCTGCAGAAATAGTTCATAAATAATTAATTTAAAACAGGTAAACAGATTCACCTGTTTACCTGTTTATTGACACTATATAAATAAATATAAATTGTCACATAAAATAAAAATACGAACCAGTTTTGTGCTGGTATAATACCAATAATAGTTTACAAGTAAAACAAGAAAAAATCAGTTGATGTTAAAAAACATGATGGAATTAAACTGGAAGAGTATTGAAGAGTTAACCTATTTTAAACACGTTCTAGAACGAGACACCTACAAAAGTAATTCATAAATAATTAGTTTACATTCAACAATAATACCAGTAACATAAACAGGTTCACCTGTTTTTCCGTTTATCGACACGATATAAATAAATATAAATTATAACATAAAAGAATAGAAATAAGGACCAGTTTTGTCCTGGTTTAATACCAAGATTGCGATTATTTGTTATTGTTGTCAATAAACAAATGCAGTTTTACTTACTTTTTAAATAAAATTCATGAAATACATAGAATGGTTAAGTCTACAGAAAAATAATAAATAGTGTTAATAAACATTTTTGTTGAAAATTAACTCACCTATATTTCTTCTAGTGCACGAAAAACTCTATGTTTTTAGTGCACTTTCCCTCTTCAAGGTGGTTTTTGCCAGTGGAAGAAGTAGCAAACTTTTTCCATCGTTTTTGGTATCACAAAGTAGACCTTCTTGGAAAAATTAACTTTGTTCGTATGATTTTTTGAGGTTGTGGCATTTTCGTGTCTGACAACTGGAGTATGTTATATACTGATAAATATATTAGTATCTCATTCTTTCTTTGCTTATACAACTTTGATTTTTTTTACAAAAATGTCAAATAAGACAGAAATGTCAGTGGAATGCTCTTCGTAATTTTGACAATTTTAGCATGTGTGTCACATGGGGAGATATTTTTTAATACAGACGATAACAGCACCATTCAAAATTATGATAATGAACCCACATACAATATTTATAAATGGGTACAGCAATTACAGCTGCAGACTTGCGTTTTTGTTGGAATAGGACTTAAATATTATGCTGTGAGTATTGTGAAAAAAAGTTTTAATGTCGGTAATATTTTTTAAAACTTAATTAGCAAATAATCTGTAGGTTTACTTTGGGTATTATTAAAATCATTTAATATTTTAAGTTATTTTTTTTTTAAATAAAAAATAATTTTCAGATCCGCAAAGATTTCGTACAACGTTCTTAATTTGTTTTGATTTATGTTGCCTATTTTTATTTATGTTGGGTTGTTTAAGAATAAAAGAATCCTTAGCCATATAATACAAGATATACTGACCGTTGCAATACCTGCTCGTTTCTCTAGTTGGACAGAGAAAACTAAAGCTAATATAATTATTTTTTATAACTAACTAAATTTTTATAATTAACTAAAAAATAAAAATAAAATCCTTAATAAGCCTTAATATAAATAAACATTTCACACCTAGAATAAGAGTATTTCAAAACATTGAAAGATATTGTAGCCTTCTCTCTTGACGTCTTGCTGTTGCACTGTCTACTGCTTCTTTTTGTTTTTCTTCCTCTCAGACCTTGAATTTTTCTGTCGTGGAATCCGTGGCTACTTTTTCTATTGTTTTTGGCATCGTACCTACTTTCCTGATTGTCTGTCTTTGGCAACCAACCGACTAGACCATGATCATGTGGTCGATCAGTTAATCGAATCAGAGTCGATCTGACCATCCTCTGGATCCCAATCTTAGCAAGGATGTCTCTGGTCTTCAAAAGTCTTCTTGTGGCTTGGTGGAAGAAATACCTTGTCGTTTTCTTAGCCACTTCCCTCAATTGTTTATACTGGGGCCTTTCTTTGATGGTTTCATTTGTAGTATATTGATCCATCGATGATCCTGTAACATGACGTCTCTGTTGCTTTAAATTTCTTCCAGTTTAATACCGAAATAGAGCTCCAAAGTGACAGCGTACACGTACAGCATTGCCGTTCTAATGTAGGCCTGGTTTAACTGGACCTTCTTGCCTTCGTTAGTAAACTGGATCTAAAATAGTACAGCAGTATTAGTTTTTTAGCAGTGTTTGCTTTTACCTTGATCTGTTGTGTATTTTTCTTGACGTTAAGTTTCCTATCAAGGTGGACTCTTAGGTACTTGACTGAATCTTCCGACTGAAACCTCTTTTCTCCTACTGTTATTTCTACCACTGGCGGATTGTCTCTTGGGTGAATATGATGAATTGTGTCTTCTCGGCGTTGATTTTAATCTTCCCTTTTTTGCTGTATTTCGTGATTTTTCAAAGTAATTTACTATGTTTTGGACTATTCGTTTGTCATCCTTTCCTGTTGCATAAATCACCGTGTCACCTGCGTAAAGGGCTGTGGTTGTTGTTGGATTTCTTGGTAAATCCAAAACAAAAATGTTGTATAAAATAGGGCAAGAGTATACTGTTCTGAGGAGTCCCTTCTTGTATTTCTTGGATTGTAAACGTCTTTTGGTCAGCTGAAACTTGTGACAATCTAGCTTTGTCCATCTTGTACATTAGTGCCTTCTTCTAGACCGTGTCCATTCACGTACATTCCTTCTAGATGTCCAGTATGGCCATTCCTGTTTTCTGTTGAATCTTATCTTTGTGTCACTGACAACTCTTGCTAGTTCGGTTCGCAATTTCTTCCTTTTCTAAATCCGAACTGGTGCTCCTAAATCCACATGTTTTATCAGCCTTCTGTAGATGATTTTTTCCAGTACTTTTCCTAGTGTTTCAACTAGTGTTAAGGGCCTGCAGCTTTCCGGCCCTTTTTTTTCTTGGTTTTAGTAGGGGGTGATTTTGGCATGCTTCCAATTACTTGGAAAATGTGCTTTTTTTAAGCAATATTTGAAGATATAGTACAGTTGTACTTTTAAAAGTTTCTAGAGAGCGGTGTTATGAATTACTTCTGATTTTGGAGCTTTGCTTCCCTTTAGTCTTTTTATGACTTCTGTTGGGTTTAAATTTCTTTTTCTTTTATTCTTTCATATTCTGGATTAACCTCCTAGATGGCTCTTGCATCCGATATGCTTTGTTCTGTCTGTGTGTTGCTGCCATTCTTCTAGCGATTGCAACCATTTCTTCTTTAGTTTTCAAAGTGTGTTCCCTCGTCGTCTATGATTTATTTTGTTTTCCTCTTCGTTTGGCTTTCAGTATTTTTCACACATTTTCATAGTTTTCCTTTGCATTCCTGATGTTTTTGTGCCTTGTTTTTGTAAGATTTCTGAGTCTTAATCTGATTTCTTTGGAAAGTGCGCCTTCGTAGTCCTTAAATTTCTGTATTTTAGCCTCTGGAAAGCTCTACTGGCCCTATTTCTGTCTTTGTTGATATCCATCAGTTCATTCGGTATAATTATTTCTCTATTATTCGTCATTACATTAGGGAAATTGTCGTTCATAACTTGTTGTATTTTCCTTGTTATTCTTTCTTTTTTTCTTTCCAATTCTTTAAGTAACGCAAAGCAGTCCCTAGGTCTCTTTATAATTTGCCACGTTTATTAACCACGTGACCTAAAAGACCAATGAGAATGTCACGTGGTCAATACACCAGGACCATTAGAAAGATATGCAGGGACTTCTTGTCAGTTTTCGAGACGTCAGTTTTCTCTGTCTCACTTTGAGAACGCGACTGTATTTTAGCAGTTAGTCTTATATTGTATGTTTATATGTTTATAAAAGAACCTTAAAATAAATAAAGTTGTCGTTATAGCTAAATATTTATTAAAATTATTATTATTTTTAGTTATTTGTTGAAAATGTTAATTACAAACAAAACAATACTATAAAATCAACCAACTATTTCTTAGGAATATGTCACTACTCTACGTTAGAAACCTGGAACCTTTGTTCTAATAGTTTAGCCAAAACGAGACGACACAAATGCACGTTCAAACTTAAGCCAGGAGTTTATCAGAGTCGGGTACACAGACGGTTCTGTGATTTTAAAGTGATGATCAAAAATAAAGATTGCAGTTGTATGTCGTCGATTTTACAGGAGAACTTATATAAAGTAAGAGGTAAAAAAAGTGTTTATTCTAAAGTTGTTTTAAATTATGAATATTCTGAAAAAAATTGAGGCATTTAAAAAAATGCACATTGTAACTATATTTTCTGTGTAACATTAAAGTATGCTAACTTATTAACGTATTAACATATGTAACGTCTTAATCTTATTAAGACCAGGGCGTTTAGTAACACCAAACTGCTGGAAGAAACGAGGGGCGAGATTCTTCGAATATCCTTAAGGATATTCAAGAGAAAAACGCCCAGCGTTCTATTCATCACAATGGTGCTCTACCCGACTGCTCAGCCCTGGGTTAGTTCCCTGTTCATTCTCTCTCTACACCAATGCCAGAAAGGTACAGGCAATAAAAATACTTATTAAGTCACAACAATGGTATATTTATTTATGCAATAAAAAATAAACAGAATTTAAATTATAAATGTGTAACAAAAATAAATTAAACTGAGATTCATAGATTATGCCGGTTGCTGGTATAAAATAACTAAAGTATAAAAAAGGTACTCAGCTAAATGGGTCGTTCAGTTCTTCAGGAAGGGTTCCGATCCTTGTGGAAGTTAGCCACTGTCGGTGGTTGTTTGTTGAGTTAAGGGGAGTTGCTGGTCTATATAATAACAATCATTTTCGTCCCATGTTGGTAGATGCGTTTCAAATTCTGTTCTGATGCATCAGTGAATTCGTAGGTGTTTGCTGATTGTTGCCCAAGGTATTGGGCTTGGGTTGGCTGTTTTCTTGTTACTTCCCACGGTGTGTGGATGTCTATTTCTTGCTCCCCACGGTAGTGGATAGAAAATTCAAACAAAGATTAGTTTTCTCCCAAAAGAAAAGGCTGATCAGAAATAAAGCTGAGTATTCAGAGAGAAACAATCTCAGCAAACTCACAGCGTGGCATTAATAAAAATAAGTATGTAGGAAAAGATTTTTATTAGTAAGATTTACAGGAAATAAATTAATAGTGGTACATAGATACAGTAAAAAAATAAAGTGAATTAAAAGCATGTACCGTTTTTGAACCGAGAAGATTTTTGTTGTGTTTTTAAAGATCATGTTGATGTTAAAACATAAACAAAGTTATGTTGATCATTGTTGTGACGTCTTCAAATATTTTTTTGTTGTTTAAGAGAAAATATCTATTTCACTTTTGGTAGCTCCGTTAGGTGCTATCTATGTACACTTTCTGTTGGGTTTCTTTTTATAAAATATATTCATTAATATTTTCTTCTTTCAGGAATTTCATACATTTTTCACCTCTTGCATTTTTTGTGCTTAATCCGAAATTTCCATTCTTGATTTCTGAGCCTTCAATCTTTCTTCCAATTTTGGCGTTAAAATCTCCTATTAATATTATTATTTTAGTTTCTTTGTTGTTGTCTATAGCTTTTTTCTAATTAAAAAGAATTCATTTTATCCTCAGTTGATTTTTTAGTTAAATCCTAAACCTGCTTTAAATCTTAATTGTAGTTTGTGAATTTAATATTAAGATCGTATATTTAACCCTATCCCAGATGCTATGAGTTATTTGAAATTGTATTAAAATGCTAAGATTGATAATACAGGGAAAAATAAGGGGAGGAAAGAGAGTTTTAAAAAGAAAAGTATGATAGTTAAAAAATTTAATAATTTGTTTAAATGCTGTCAATAAAACTCTTCAGAACAATGGTCCATAGAGTTAAGATAGTGATGGTGATATCCAACCTCCGATTTGGATCTTTCACAGCAACACATTGTACCTTTCCTATACGAAATTTAATGTTAGAATATCTAAACATGACTTAACTGACTTAGAAATAAGTTTTGATTTTTCTTGTAAGTTTTAAATATATTTTTTGGCATGAGAACAATCTGCTTCAGTTAAAATGTAACAAAAGGCATCATTTACACCATTTTAAATAACTACAAAACACGCTTTTTCTGCTTCAGGATTTCCAATGTGTTACATCCCGCCGCTTCCTTACTCCATATGCAAATACAACGTTTGCGGTTTGTCCAAGTGCAGTTCCCTGACAGTTGAAAATTCCGTATACTCGGTCCGGTGCGATGTGGCTTGTATGACTGGAAATCCGGTGAGATATTTAGTTTTTATTAACATAACTTGAAAACTATTAAAAGTTTTTTAAAACATGTTGTATAGATTTAATTTAAGATTTCTATAATCTTTGTAATCATTGTAGTAACTTTGAATTGTGGTAGATTTTAAGAAATTTGAAAGACTGGTTTATGTAATGCCATTTTATTCCTATTGATTTAAGAATTTTGAAGATTTTGTCAGTGTCACCTTTGATGTAAGGAAGAAAAGCTTTCGCATGATGAGGGTCTGAGTCTTTGGATTGAGATTGAGTGGGAGATTGATGTCTGTGGATGCTCCCATTGATGTGATTTTCGCGATAACTGTTTTTGATGAGGGCTTTGAGAAAGGTTTTATTCATAATATCTTTTATTGTTTTCCCCAGATAGATTATTGGATTATTAATGATTGGTCTGTAGTCTGGAGAATAATTGAGAGTTGAAATAATGCAGTTTAATTTTACTGCACATTTTCAAAAATTCATCAAATTTTATCTTTCTGTTCAATAGTAACTCAAAATTATAAAATTTCGTATATGTTTATTATTCCGGCTTTATTTTCTTCTTAAGATGCCAAAAGAAAGCATATATTTTCCAAAATATAATAAAAACAAAATTAGATATTAGGTTTTTACCCACATATGAAAGAGGCAGGTTTAAGGAAAAATGTTGGCACCAACGACCCCCTCACAAACACAACCAACCATTAGTCCTGGCTACCGTAAACTGCCGCAAATCATTCCAAACGATAGAAATTAACAGCGTAATGAAAGCGTTGGAGGAGAAAGTGGCATATATTATCGGTACCCTATACTAATAATGCAACCATGTTTGTAGGATTACACAAAGATACAACGTTTACAAAAATCAAAAAAAGAATCACGGTATCACCCCAACTTTTAAAGCAGTTCTGAAAAATACATTAAAAAATTGGAGTGGAAAGCTATAAAGGAATTAATGTCGACGGCAAAATGCTCTCACTCCTATGAGTTATGAATAACATTGTTTTGATAACAGATAACTTAAAAGAGATTGGAACAATGCTTGCTGAGTAAGATGTCACACTTTATAAAGTTGATTTAAGCATAAAGTTTAGAACGACACAATACTTGACAAATCTGGTACCAAGCGAAAATCCAAAAATCGACTGCAATGAAATGTTATAAGTCCTTAAGTATGAGTACTTATGTTATGAAATTAAAATTGCTATTGACAATTAAACTGCTGAACTCCAAAGAAGACACTCTAGCATACGCTGCATATGGAGCTCTATCAGACATCTTCAATCGCAAAATGACAATTTTATTTTTTTTTTTGAAATGAACACTTTTGACCAATATGTGTTTCCAGTCATGACTTACAGAGCTTAACTCAATTGAATAAAAAACGCTCGCTACTGGAACTGACTCACAAAGTCAGAGAGATAAGAAAAAAAGCAGCGCTACAGATGTCATAGAGTGCATAGCATGGTTAAAATGGAACTAGCCGGGCCATGTAGCCGGAATGAATGACGGGCGGTGGACCCAAAAAATTACAGTGTGGAGAAAACGATCAAAGAAGAAGCAGAGGTAGAGCACCTACTCATTGGACAGACGATGTCAAAAGAATCGCTGGGATTTGGCTGCAGGAAGCTCAAGACTGAAGGAACTGGAAGGACTTAGGAGAGGTGTATGTCTAACTTTGGATGCAGCAGGCTGGATGTTATTGATGTTGATCTTTATTAATGCACTTGCAAGGTCTTATAAACAAAAGGTATTAAATGGATGAGCGATAGTTGCGAAAGGCAATGTAGACAGCAAAATCGAGACAGGATCTGCATACTTTCTTATCATATAATCACTAGTTTTTTAAGTTATATCTAGTTAATACAGTTTACTATTTTTACAGAAAATAAACCACATATTTAGTTAAAAATAGGTTTATTTTTAAGGTTAACTAAACTTATTTTAAAGTAAAATTATGGCTTATTGCCAATAAAAATAATAATTTGTATTAAGATACCACATAGTGGCAGCGACATAAAAAATGCAGTTGTTCACCTAACTACAGTTATTTAGCAAGCTGCTTGGACGTCTACCCCAGAATTTACTCACAAACACAACTCTGAGTCCTTTCCGGCTCACATAAATTCACTCATCTTGGAAAAAAGAAAACTGCGAAAGAAGTGGCAGCTCACTAGACATCCAGAAGATAAAGCAAATCTTAATAGAGCTTGCAGACTACTCAAAAGAAAAGTGATCCAACATAAAGACAATGGAATCAACAGATATTTAACGAACCTCTCACCTGCAGATAATACAAACTATTCGCTGTGAAAACTAACAAAAAATTTAAACACAACGATTAAATGAATATGCCAATCAGGAAACAAAATGGCACTTAGGCTAAAACTGACATAGATAAAGCACATACTTTTGCAAATCATCTATACGAGGTATTTCAACCGCATCAGAGGGAAGTCTCAGTTGAAGGAGGGCAGGGTATTCATGAAGTCGTTAATGCACCACATCAAATGGCTTCACCTATTAAATTTATTAGAAAATCGGAGATCAAAGAAATAATCAATAATCTGGAAAATAAAATTACTTACATATTTAATTCAATATTAAAAACAGGTTATTTTCCACTCCAATGGAAAGTTGCTCAAATTATTCTTATTCCAAAACCTAATAAAGATCACACGGAAGTATCTTCATATCGCCCAATTAGCTTGTTGCCTATTATCTCCAGTATTTGAAAGACTTTTTCTAAGAAGACTGGAGATTATTTTATATGATAGTAATGTTTTACCGAATTATCAATTTGGGTTTAGGAAACAACATGGTACTATCGAGCAAATTCATAGGGTGGTAAAGACTATCAGAAATTCGCTCGAACAAAAAAATTACTGCGCTGCTGCATTTCTAGATGTCTCTCAAGCATTCGACAACGTTTGGCATGTAGGTCTTATCTCTAAAATTAAATCCATATTTCCTCATCTCATAAGCTCACTTGTAAGATCCTACCTGACAGATCGATCCTTTCAAGTCAAAAGAGACGGGGAAATCACTAACCTGTTTCCAATTTGTTCCGGAGTTCCACAAGGAAGCATACTAGGACCCACTCTCTACTTAATATACACATCTGATCTCCCAACGACGACCAATACAACAATCGCTACATATGCTGATGACACAGTTATCATGGCTTCAAATTCTACGATTTGGCGAGTCCAAGATAACAGTGTAAAATCAACACAAATAAGGTTTTCTTTAAAAAAAGATGTCGCGCCACCAGTTTCTATAAACAACACTCCACTACCAGTTAATACCGTCGTTAAATACTTAGGAATTCATTTGGATAGCAAACTTAATTGGGGTATTCACATCTGGAAGAAACGCCTTCAACTCAGCTTAATCTACAGGAAAATGTATTGGTACATGAGTCGAAAATCTAATCTAAGCCTAGAGAAGAAACTTCTAATATATAAATGTATTTTAAAACCGGTATGGCAATATGCAGTACAAATCTGGGGTACAGCAAGTAATACCAACATATAAAAACTTCAACGATTCCAATCGAAAGTACTGCGCCAGATCTGCAATGCCCCTTGGTACATTACAAACTACAGATTACACCACGATTTACAGTTACCAACAGTTAGCGAAGCAATATCTGCCGTAAACGCTGTATAAAAGACCAGACTATCCATCAGGCTATCCAAATTCGCTGGCCACGGATTTGATCAACATTTCACACGAAAGAAGATTAAAACGACCAGACCCTTTGGACCTCTAGTAAACATGGAGAAACAGAGTATAGTGTCACAGTGCGGTGAAATAACAAGTTTTTATTCTGGTGTTTTCTAAATCTTTTCTTGATTTTTTTTTCTTTTTTTTTTTTCATTTTTTAGTCTTGTAATACTTATATGTGTGTCAGTGATGTTTATCTGTATTAAACCTTGTTTGTTAAGTTGAAGTTTAAATTAATTGGTATATCATATATTATATTATTATATTATGTCTTACCTGGGTGCTTGCCACTGGGCGGCGTCCCACTATGTTATTGTACATAAATGATACATATTGCTTATTGTTTGTAATGAGACAGATTGCGATAAACATTGGATGTTAAAAAAAAAGAAAGTATTAAGATGCCACAAGGAAATAGCTTTGGAACAAAGTCTAGTTAAGTTTTGTCAGTTTTTTCATTTGAAATAAGAGGTATAATTATCCAGAAATATAAAATTATTAATAATATCTACAAATCTGTTTATATTTTAATTTTAAAGACCATTTTTTATCATCCTGTAAAATCTATTAAAAATTCTCTATTTTCAGTCATATGTAAATCGATAAACTATTTTTCTTGTAGTTTTGCGAAGGACCGATGCACCGGTCGTCCGCTCCACCAAAAATCAACTCGCATTGGTCGAAGTGGAGTCATCAGGAAATCGCAGTCGCGGATGCTAGTGAATCACGGCCCAGCAGGACTTCCAGCGAACCGTCTACTAGCAAAAAGCTACATTCGGTCGCTACATGCATAAATAACTATAGGTTAGTGGTATTCGATAACAAAATTTATAGTTTGCATATATATATGCTTGTGGTATTTGTAATCAGGGCCGTGTTTGGATAAGTTGGCAGAAAAATTTATTTTTGATGCCAAAAAAGTTTAAATTATGTCAAACTTTTTATTTGGTAATACTGACAAGTTGTGATCTGAAATTAGTTTTTATTTTTGTCTAAAAACAAGTACTTCTAGAATTGAACTAATTGATAAAAAATTTGTCTGACAAGTAGAGTCAAAGATAGCTAGTCCAAATGTCCAAATGTCCATTAGATCAGACCACATACATGACTGACAGAGCTCAGTTACGCTTAGTGTAAGAAATGTTGATAACAATTAACAATATTAATGACAATTACTAAAAAATTAGTTTGCATGTATTTATTAAACAACACCACAAAAGGATCAATTATTTTCTAAAGTCTTTACAGTATGTGGAAAAGTGTAACACTACTACTGATAAAGCATCGAATGTAATATGATTTTGAAAGTATATATAAGGAATTATTTCTTAAAACCGAAGTTGCGTTTTACAAACATGTTCATAAGATTCTGTCATATAGTAAAAACCTTACCAAAGAACTATTGCAGCTGAAGAAGACAAGTTTAATAGCTATGAGAAAAGTATGAACCATCTTGATGAATAATGGTATTATTGACATTTAAGCGGTAATTAAACATAACGACATTTAATATGGATAGAATTTTAAATAAAACTGATTTAGTTGTCCAATTAGAGCAGCTATTTCTTAAAGTTTCTTAAACTAAGTGCTTCAAGGTCCTGCCAAAATCAGATTTCTCAGACCTCAATCTTAAGCTCATACGATAATTGCGATGATTATATATTCCTATATCTGTAAACAAGTATTTCTTAGACACAGTTTCAGTAAACAGATTAAGAAAACATTTTAAAAGCTCACTTACAGTTTCATCTATTATATATCATCTTAATACTTGTCTAAAGAATAAAGTTATTAATACAAATATTTTTTTTTGTTACATTTTTGTTTTTTCAGTGCACCTAGATTATTTTTTATTTTAGGTTAAAATGCTTACCCAAGTATGCTGTAGGTTCGATATGAATGCTTGTTTAAGTTTGCATGAATTTTTAGCGGTAATAGGAGCTTTTATGCATAAACAGACTTAATGAAAACAAGGTTACAACCTCCTGAGTCTAAGCTTAGAATACACAAAACAGAAATTGGATTAAAAGACACATATGGATATGAAACGTGGACCCTTTCAGCCACTCGTAAAAATCAATTAAGAATATTTGAGCGCATAATATTCAGAAAAATATTTGGACCCATTTATTCTAGAGAAAGCTAAGGCCCATAAAGGATTGTAGCTCAATTAGGACAAGAAGAAGTGAATATCTATTGTAGACCTTACATCAGTTTAATTTTAAGATGTTTTATTTGAAAGAAAACTAAAACAAAACATACGGATTGCTAATTGAACAACTATCGACTTATAACTGAGTCTGTGCATTGGTTGATGAATTAAAACATTGGACATTAGAACAAAAGAAAGCACATTGGAACAAACTTAATTAAACAAAATCTAAAATCAGTCAAAGATATGTACTGATCTAACGAAAAAAACTTTTTTTACTTCCTGCCTTTTATAATTCTGGTTATAATTGTATGATGTGACTAGGTTTTAAATAAATACCAAAGGAGTCGTTGCAAAATACACCATCAGACAAAGCAATCACCAAATTCCATTCTAAGAAATACTAGTTTTTGTCTACTCTACTAACCACCAGGTTTTTGATTTAACTTCACGCTGCTATCTAAGAACATTTAGAGAGGCCATCAAATTCTAAAACTACCCAATAAACTAGAGTAGTAGGGAAGAAGAGTCTGTATATAAATTTCTATTACCATGTCAGAACAACCAACAGATCCCAAACAAACTTTAGGATTGTTAATATCGTTAATATAAGAAAAGATCATCAGTGAGTAATAATCAGTTAAGTCCACGATTATTATCTTTGGTAATGTCTATCTTTCTTGAAGATTAAACGTCGTGGAAAAATGATACCAACTTGCAACCTACTCTCAAATCAATCTTTCGTTACAAAATGCCAGCCAAAAAATGTTAAACTCTTTTACTATAAACTCTGATTTCAAAAACATTTATTACACAAAAAACCTAAAAATATTATCCTAACCTAATAATATCTCTGTGTATATTTTAGGAACTCAAAAGGTTTAGATTGTCTTGGGCCCGGAACTGGATGGTGAGTAGGTAGTCCCATTTTTTTATGTTAACACGAAAAAGTTATTTATTAGATTAGAAATAGGAAGGGAGGATGTGATATATGAAGCTTTTTACTGAATGTATAGTTATATCGTTGCATACTAGATGCAGCGACTGATCTTAATAAGTTAGGCGGGGTGGATTATACCGTAGGAATTGAAAAAAGTTAAACATGAGTCACTTTTTAATGAAATTTTTATTTTTATATAAATATCTAAAAATATTGATTATATTTAAATTGTTACTATTGGTTTTTCAAATATTAAGTAATCCTTAAAATATTTTGTACCTTTTATCAATGAATGCCACTAACGTAAGATCAATGTCACTATATTAAGCATATACTATCACAATAATATTCTTATAATATATAATAATAATAATAATAATATCTTATTTAGCTGTAAGCTAGAGCTAAAAATAGTCAATTGTATTTTTCTATAGCTAATGTTAAAGTGTTGCTATAACTACTGGTGTGGGTAGACAAAGTATCACTTTAACCGCAAGGTTAGATAAAGTGACACTTTAAAAGCAAGAGTAGATAAAATGTTTTAACTTTTTTTTAGTCAATAAAATTTACAAATTCAAACACATCAAGTATTAAAAACAACTGCAATTTTACAATTAATATTATTAGAAATATCTATTTTTTGAGCATCACAACTTGTACTCGTTGGCTTAAACACTTGATTCGAATTACTGGACTGATATTCTGGTACGCCAAGTACACTTGGATACAGCAATCTTATTACTTATTGACTCTTTAATGTAAGAATCTGCAACTGATGACGATTTTCATCCACCTAAATGTTTAACTTTTACTAGATCAGCTCCAGAATTTACGAACATAGTATCATAGTATCATAGTTTTAGTATCAGATAATGAAACGATTATCACCGATTTTCTGTCGTCCAAGTTAAACACTTCTAACTTGTACAATTTATCGGACCTAGTCGCACCATGCACACCAATAGTAGCAATAACCTTCATCAACAAATAGACGTCATCAGGAGCTTTTGTCAGAAATTTAATACTGTCATCTGACTCCAGGATTTTAGACTTTTAGCTTTGTATCCTCCACCCAGGTTTTTTAGTAAGGTGGTAAACTTGCTGAATTTAGAAATGTCACAATTTTCATTCACCAACAACGTACGCTTAGCATCGAATAATACGACCATAATGACGATGGCATCGCTTTCTTCGACTTTTTAGAAAATACGCCAGAAGTATTTTTCACTCACGCCATTGATATTTTTAATGTTTTTCCACTTTCTAAAACACTGGCATATTTTCTCTTACACCATCCTAGATTTTTGTGGCAACAATAAACTTTTTGCCTCCAACGCTGCATTTTCTACATCTGATGGCAGGTTTTCTTTTGCTTGTGTCAAGTTTTTTCCGTCCATTTCGTATTTATTCACTTTGTACACAAAAAGCAACAATATTCTTCGCAAAAACCAAAACGTAACATTTGTTTGACATTTGTTGACAGAGTAATTCATATCCCTAGCAACGCAGCAACACAATTGCGATTTTTGTGCTAAAAATTACAATTTTCTTTGAAATTCTATTTTTTACCTAAACTTGAAGTCTTGCTATAGAAAAAAATGTTGTATTGCACACGACGATACATTCGTATTATCTTCTCGAGCATAATTAACGTCTCGACTGACGTCTCGACGCTAAAAAACGCTCTCAAAGTACAATTTTATCGTTTTAAAATATTAGTTTATTTCTATAAAATATAAAATCTAGTAACTTGTCATATTTACTAAATTTTGCAATGTTTTAGCTGTCCACCAAATTCAAGCAATTGCGTTTGTGAAACTGACGAACTACAGGGTGGACTAGTATTAAAAAGAAGTTACGAATTGCAGATAAAACGAAGTTAGTAAATAAATTTATTTAAACTTATTTAAAATTAAATAATTTGTTGACAAAGATAATTTGACATGTAGTTCAGCTAGTCTAGTGTTGTAATAATAAAAAATCAGAGATTCGTCATCCAACTAAAACTCTTTAGTTGTATTTTGTTAATCTGTTATACTTATTTTGATTATTATCTATGGATGTTTTAAATAATATGAAAATCAAATGAATTCTAATTGTTATTGTAATTTCCATATTGATTTTCAATAGGTTTTTTATTTCGTCACCCATTTCATTTATTCACTTTTCTTTTGATTCTTTGATTTTTAAGTCTATGGCTCTTTAGACTATAGATACTTGTTAAATCTATGATTAATCAAAGTAATATCAATTTGATTCGATATAATCTTTTAATTACTATTTTGAGGTGATTTTTGTGTATAGATTCGCTTGCGATGCAGTTTCAACCAGGTGTTTAATACCACATATTTTTCTTTTAGGAAAAATTGTATCAGACCATCACCCCTGTCATTGCGCTAGCCTAATCGGCATCTTTCAGGAAAATCAGCTACTTTTTCTAGGCGAATTTCGCCTATTATAATGTTGATGTGGTGTTTCTTGAGGCTTTTTGTGATGTTTGATATTCCTGCATAAAAGTTTTCTACCTCATTCTTTTTTTTGTCTGTTGTGGATGCAAGTACTAGTATTAGATTGAGTATAGTCTCTTTACATTGAAATTTCAGTAGCGCTATTCTTTCGAAGTAAGGAGTAAAATTTTCTGGAGATTTATCAATGTTTTTATGTCTGATAAGTGTTACGCCATATTGTTGAGGACAGTTATTTTCTCCTCCAGAAAAGTAGATAACATGGTTGTCAATTGCTAGTCTTCCTGTACCGGGCCATCTCAATCCTAATATTTCAATAATATTCCTGCTATTTCCTAAAATAGATATGATGATTTAAGGTGATGATAAATATAAGAAGATGATATAAGAAGATTTAAGATATAGTGTACTGAATACTGCAACATACGCTAAGCTGATGGAGATTTTGCAAAGGCGAATGCTCCTCAGGGTATATAGTGCATATAGGACCGTTTCAAATTAGGCTCTATATGTCATTGGAGCAGTGATACCAATCGTTTTGTTGTGCAAAGAGCTAGCAAAGATGTATGCAAAAAGGATAGATGTAAATATGGATGATAATGAAAAAGAAATAACGATAATAGAGTGGCAGAGAAAATGGGCGAATGATAGCGAAAAGGCAAGGTGGACGAAGGAGCTTATCCCGATCTAAGGCCGTGGTGGGAATGTAAGTTCAGGAAACTAGACTACTTCCTAACGCAGTTTCTGATCGGATGGTAATTTTGGCACCTTCACCAAAAGAATAGGCAAATCTGCTTCGGCAAACTGTTTTTTTGGTATCGGACACTCCCGCCCACATTTTTTACTACCAGAGATTGGCAAATGAGAGGGAAGATTTGGAGAGGCGAATGTGTTTCAGGCTAGATAACAGAAACGTTGTAAACATAATATTGAGAGAAGTACAATATATGATTTTTGGGATGATGAAGAAAAGGAAGCAGCAAGACAGAGGAGGTAATTAAACCAGGAATCTGAAATGTATGGTTAATATTATTAATTATTTTATGGCCTAACGTCTAAAATATTTTCTGATTTACAGGAATAGGTATGATTGTTCATAAGTTTTTAGTCCAAAGATTTGCATCCCCGTTTCATTTAAAAAGCGTTGGTACTAATGGGCCATTGTTTATTTTACTTGCCATAATGAGTGATTTTCTCAAGATATCCATAAAGAATTTTTAATGCGATAGCTCTTTTTTTGTTGTATTTTGCATTCTGATGCCGTTGATATTATTTTGGTTGTTCCACCTTTGTGGAGTTTATTTTTCCATTCAAAGGCAACATAACATTCCCTTTCAGACCATCCATCCACCTTCTCAAGAAAGCTGGTTAAAGGGGACCATTTATACCGAGGTTCGCTTGTCAATTTCACTATATCCGGCTACCTCTACTTAGTTTAACCTGCAAACCAATGCAGTTATTCGAGGTGTGGCACGTGGAGACATAAGTGAAAGTCTTAGCAGGACCAAAAATCATCTCCAGCTATAACAAAACTCCATACCCCATTGTTTGATATGTTGAGAATAATTATTAAGATTTTTTCATATATATTTTACATCCAAAATTTATTAACTAATACCTGCTGTTATCGATATCTTAGGAATCATATCTTATTTATATTTTTCAATTCCATCGTAAAAGTAGAGTTCCTTTTGAATATTATAATCAAACTTTTTTATTCTAAAGCACTTTTAGGCAAATCTATAACTCAGAATAATGTTCAATTATTCATTTTTAGGAAGAAATCCGTCATTTAAAATTCAACGACCTTTCAAACGAAATACTAGAGAATACAAAAGGCTGCTAAGAGGTAAAACTATTTAACAATTTATTCAAAATTGTACACGCATGACAATTTCAGATACCAGCAACAATATGGACGATGACGAAGAAGATGACGAAGATCTAGATGAGGATATAGTGTTGGAAGAAGACACAACAGAAACTACACCTAGCACTACAGAATACTTGGAAAAGGAAGAACTCGAAGAAGAAGTTGGCAAGGATTTACAGGACAGGATCACATTGATACGGAAAAATAATAATTCCACCAAATCAGGGGGCACAAAATTTAAATGTGTATCAGAAAAATTTATAAGTTGGTTATTGTTCACATTAGTATTTGCATTTTTATAGATCCTAATAATCGCAATTAAATATTTAAACATGAAAATCTTTATTGGAGAGTTTTTGTTATTATTGTGTAAAATTTAGGAAAAATAAGTTACAAAAGAATGTTTTTAAAACAATTTTTTGAAAAATAAAATATTAAAAAGAAAAAAGCTTTGTAGTTTTTTTTAAAGGGTACTTTAAAAATTGGAAAACAAGAATTACATATTATCATTTGGATCTTTTGGCTCTCCATTTTGGAGATCCCACATTCTATCCTAACTGGAATATCTATGTCAAAAGCTAACAATTTTAATAAGCTTTTAAAATTTTGTTATTTTGCTTTAAGTAATGCTCTTTTATAAATAATAATATGATTATTATTAGGTCTATAAAGTGAATAGACAAAAATGTTAATTTCATTATTATCAATCGGAAAACAAAAACTGATTCAAACAAACCTATCACAAACTCTTCCAAGGGACCGGATATCAACTGATAACCCGAGGCTTTGATAGCAGGATCTGTTTGTTTTTCTATTAACTTTAAGGTCCTTTAACGTCCTCGAAGCTCCTTACGGCAAGAAGTGCGTGTGTGCAAAGCCGTTTTTACCTCTGAATGCTTTCTAAGGGAAAACTTGAAAGGAAACCACTTTTCTTTGGTGGAAGGAAAAGTTTTCAAATCGTCAGAGAGCGTTGAAAAGAAGAGGAGAGAGAGGCGAAGTTGGTAATTTGGGATGGGAATGTACGAAGTGCGAGAAAAAGTTTTTCGATTGGAGAGATAAAAAATAGGGCAATTTGTCGTTTTCCGAAACAATTTAAAAAATCAAAGAATACTGAATAAGTACGTTTTGGTTCGATGAAAACCATAAGTGAAAAAATCAGGATGTAAAAAAATTATTTACAAGAGCATTTTTTTTATATATAAACAGAATTTTGTTACGATCTAATAACAAGTGTATTTGGAAGTGAAATTTTCAGAGAATTTACTAAATTTTTTACCTCCGGAAGCAATTTATTTAGTCAATATTGCTAAAATACAATTTAAATTTGTTATTAAAACCTGTCAATAACGGCCAAAAATATTTGTTATTATATAACAGTGGCCATTGGTATTAGGTTTTGCATCCTACAACATTTAAGATATAAATGTTTTTATTTATAATCATATGATTTTTCTTCATACTTCATAACAAAGAGGATGCTACCGACCTCAGGAATTACAGGCCCATAAGTCTACTTTCACATATTTATAAACTATTTACAAAAATAATTACAAAACGACTATTAAACAATACAAATAGTACTTACATTTACATTGAATCGTACTTACGTTTACATTACACGTTATTATTAAATCGCGAATCGTCTAAATTGACATTTAAAAATAAGTTTTTCCACTTTTCTTGTTAACCGTGTTCTTCTTTTATTTAAAATTAAACCAGATTTTAAACATGTGTTCAAAAGGAAAAGATTTTGTTACAATACTACAATATTTTATGAATATAGTGGCTAAGTTAGGATATACATGGCGATGGTTTTTCCACCACGGTAATGGACAGTTCCAATCTCCGTTCGAAATTTATTGTGGGTAATATATCATCAGACAAATACATGTCGACTTCTTGTATATCTCGCGATACAGGTGTATGTTTAGATGAGTCATGTCCAATTAATTCATCTAAAATATACCATGGACTTAAGTCATCTTTATCAGTTTCTTTTTCTTGTACTGGTTGATTTTCAAGATTTACTAAACTTATGCAAAGACTCGTTTCATCCGTTTTCCATAGGTGAAGAACCAGCTTTTAAAAAGTTTGCAGGGTGGATTCCTGGATATAAACCGCCAACAAGAAAAACTGTCAGATTCATTACTTCAGGAATGTTATGTCAAAACTGATTTGATAGTAGATAAAATAAAAAGTCCTTTTTTCGACAATTCTGCAAAAAACACATTAAAGGAAAAGACCTTATCTTCAGAAAGGCTTTTAAAGTATTAATTTCAAGACGTGGAAACTAGGTAGAACTTCACCTATTACAGGTTAAAAAGAATGACCGAGTTAGAAGAGGCAATCCGTTCCACATCGGTATTAAATAATACAGACTTAGACTTAGACCAAATCTAAATAAAAATCACTGGATTATTTGTTCTCTGCTTTCCCAAATTTTACGGCCGTTTAAAGAAATAACAAGTACAATGAGTGACCAAAAATACTTGAAGGGTAGTTCAGTGATTGTCTGTCTGCAAGAATCTTGTAATAAAATTTTAGCAAACGGTAACCTTACATCCATAGTATCCGATGTAGTACAATTACTAATATCGGGTTTAGCAAAAGGATTTAAAGGGATAGAACAGAGTGGCACATTGTCATTATGTACATTTATGGATTCACCATTTAAAGTGCAGGGTTTTTATGATAAAAATGAAGATAAAAAAATAAAAGAAAAAGTTAAGAAGCTGGTTTCTTCTATAATTAAAGAACAAGAACTATTATACAAATGAAGAACAAGAAATAATATAAACGATGTAAAAAACCTTACGAAACTAAAAAACTATTAAAAAACAGTCTGAAATTAGCAGAGCTGGGTCGGATACAGAAAAAAAGTATCCGGATACCGGATACGGATACTCAAAATGTATCCGGATACTTTTTAAAAAAGTACGAATACTTTCACTTCAAAATGTATTCGGATACAAGTATCCGGATACTTTTTTCGGATACTTCTTAGGATACTTTTAAGGATACTTTTAAAAGTGACCTAAATTGCTAGTGATAGAATTATGTGATGAGCATGTATTTTTATTGTATATAATAATAAAAAGAACGTGCATAAAATACTGGAAACAGAAATCAAAAAACACTCAAGAAATTGTTTATTACTTATGAATAATAAAACAAGAACATGATTAATCAAACCAGAACATACTATAATATGTAAAGAAAAATTAAATAAAAATAAAAACGTATTAATAAAGAAATTGCTGAAGATTTTTTCGCATATATTTACAGAAGTGCCTTTGAATTTGCCTTTGTAAGTACCAATACCTCAAAGTGTTCATCGCTTAAAGCTTTTCTTTTAGGTGTATCAATCATAGTTGCAAAAGAGAAAAGTCTTTCAACTGGTGCTGACGAAGGTAAGCATGTGTTATATTTTGTTGACACCCTTTTTAAGGTTGGGTATTCATTTAGGATTTGTAAATTGGTTCTTTTGTCCTCCAAATATCGTAACAATTCTAACTGTATTTTTGAAGTTTTATTATTTACGCTGGAACCCTGTTCCTGTTCATTATATGTAATAGTACAGCTATTGTCCACTTGCTGGTCTCGGAAATCGCTAAAATCAAAAAAGTCATCTAAATTTTGATCTCCACTTTCGTCTGATTCATTGCAACTTTCCAACTCCATTTGTTTTTTTGCAACAGTTATAATGCATTTTTTGATATCTTCTAAAGTTTTTTTGGGATTATGTACTACATTGTACCACTTTAGCTTAAATTTAGGAAGAAGAACTGCAGCTATAATTGGATCTTCCCATTCCAAATTTAAAATGTTAGCAAAACGAGTATTTAAGCTTTTAATGCACATTTTTGCTAGATGTTCTCCTCCATATTTCAATTTTGTTTGGGCAAGAAGTTTCTCATATTTATTAATTAATGAAATTAAGCTGGGTAACAAATATCCAAAAGATACATTCTCTTCACCTTGTAACAAATCTAACGTTAAAGCCAAAGGTTTCATAACTAAACAGTATTCCTCTAGGTATAATAGTTCAGTTTCCTTAAAAGGTTCTAATGTTAGATTTTGTAGCAAAATTGGAAGTTTTTCTTTTGCTTGAAGAATCTGTGAAACTGCATCAAAAGTGGAGTTCCATCTAGTGGCCCCTGGAGAACTTAGAGTATGTCCTAAAATTTTAATTATAACTTCATTGCTTTTTGGTTTATTCGATTTTTTCCATAACTGAGCACATTTACTAAATGCATTCTTTTCTCTTATGCGGATAGTTGGAATGTTTATAACAGTATTTTTATAATCTGTTGTGGCTATTAAATTTAAAGTATGTGTGGCACATCGCATATGCTTGGGTAGCTGTATATCCTGGTCTTCTAACTCTTTGCCTTCATCAACCTCTAAATGTAAAATTTGCAATTCATTTTCTTCTTCGTCAATTTCCTCATCGTCGTCCTCTTCATTTTTCTCGCCGAATACTTTAAAAGCTTTAACGAAATTGCTACCGTTGTCTGTTACTGTCCCCACAATTTTATTTTCTGTTAAACCAAATTTTAAATTTATATCTTCTAGCATCTCAGCTATGCTTCTGTAGGAGTGAACACCTTTAAACCTAAAATAAACAATGGTTCTTAAATTTTTGTTTGTACATCGTCCATGTAGAATGTACAAGACTATGAATTTGTATAGTGGGATGGCCGAAAAATAAAGGCTGTAAGATGTATTTTCGTTACAAAGAAAAATTTTAAAGAAAGAAAATAGGGTAGGACCCTTTAAAAATATTTAAAAATATAGAGTGTTTGCACAGAAACGGTGGATAAGCAATATACATATTTTCAATTGAACCATCCTATATATTTTTACAATTTTGAATTCTCCTGCATTATCTGATTTCGGCATTTTGTTTAAATATTTGGGTTTAGGAGGTATAGATATTTGAAAATCACAATTTAGCTGTGTACCTGTTTTCACATGATAATTGTTGAAAACAGAAAATCGGCTGTCTTGTAAATATCTTTTTAAGTAAGTACTAGTCAATGCGATAAATAAAAAAGGGTGATAAAAATCAATAATTTCGGACAATAAACTATTATTAGTGCATTGAATAGTACTTCAAAAGGTAAGATAGGAACTTAAGCAACGATTTTCTTTATTTTTAATTTATTGCTTCCATGCAAAAAGGTGCTAGGTCCTAAATCTAACAAATAAATATATTGCTGAAATCGGAAATCAGATCATTGACGAAACTTTACAAATGTATAAAGTTTTCCGATTGAAAAATGTATCTTCGCTTTGCCTTATTTCTATAATTCTTTACAACATGAACATACTGTA